TATATCATGAGCATATTTCTGTAACTCGGTATTTCTAAGCTACTTCAAGCCCGTACCTGCCTCTCGCAGGTCAGGCATATCAGGCATATATACATATATACACCTATATAATTTATGTATATATACAATATACATTTATGCATATTATATGTATATAACTTATATTTATGTACATTGGGACGCCCTCCGTTACAGGCGCCAAACTAACTAAAACTAACGAATGCCTCGTTGGTTGAAATATAAAAACGAAGATATTACTCTTCTACGTCTTTCAACTCTCTCATATACTAAGGTGAGCTAATAGAGATAACAATAATAACTCTCTATGCTTCTCTTTCTGCTATTTAGCTGTCCGGCGTCGCTTCCTTCAATTCGTTTTGTTTGTTCATCCTTCTTGCTGCCCTGCTGCGCTGCAGGCCGCCAGCAGCCTCTACCCAGCTTCACAGTTAGGGCTTCTTTCCTATAAAAAGCCCCCCTCTTATAGGCGTTAGCAGCAACAGCAGCTCCAGCAGCAGCTGCTGCTGCACCAGCAGCTGCTACACACTCGCTGCGAACTCGCCGCCGTACTCATATATATATACACACTAACAGCTCCTTATTGACAGAGCGGAATCGTCTTTCACTGACACCCCAAAACCTCTACTCGCTCTATCTCTCCTGCTGCAGCAGCTGCTGCTGCTGCAGCTTCTGCAGCACCTGCTGTTGCTGTTGCTGCTGCTGCTGCCGGTGTTGCTAGTCGTACTGGGCGCCTAGTTAAGCACGCTGAGGTCAGACAGCTCGTGGGCCTCCAGAGTTGTAGCCATAGTGCCCTCCAACTTCTTCGCCAAGGCGTCCTTAGAAGAGGAATAAATCATGCGGGGCTTCACAGGGGCGCAGTCTGGAGACCAGAGGATGAAGTGAATGCGCTGGCCTGTAGAAAAGCATCATCGATCAAGCCACACAGAAGAAGAAGAAACTGTCAAAAGAAAACAATAAAACTCCAGCAAATGCTACGGCAACAAAGGAAAGCACAGCAAAAGCTCTTCATGCTTGATTCACAACACACAATTCTGCGCACGGCACGCAGCCGCCTCCACGCAGACACACAACAAAAGTTTCAACGGAATCAATATGATAAAAGAATAAAAGCAATTAAGGTTCTCTTAGAACGAAGAGAGGCGAGAGGAGAAAGAAACCCATGCCGGACACCGCACAGCTTGCTGCTCGTGTGTGTGTTGCTTGCTGCGCTAACTTGAACGCGAAACAGAGCAAATACGCATCCTTACCCTCATCGTACACTGCGTATCTGCAATCACTTGCAGGGAGTTCTTTAGAGAAATCAGCGGCGCCGCTTGATCCCTTCTTCTCCACGACGATCTCGTCATGGTCGATCTTGAATATAATCCATTTAAAGGCATGGCGGAGCTTCAACTCGTTAAAAGTTGTCACGCAGTCCTCATTAACTGGCATTCCGCTCGCCATTTTCAAGAAGAAAATGTAATAAAAGGGAAAAGAAAGAAAGCAAGAGATATACTGCAATATACAACACACAAAAGAAGAACTGCCTGCACACGCACTCCGCTGCTGTACGCACACCTCAACGTACTCAACAACAGCGCGAGGGAGAAGAGCTTCTGAGAAGTTTGCGTGCTCGTTTTGAAGCAAATTGAAAACGCTGCACTTCGGAAATATAAATAACTTAAGAATAGACGAAAAGCGCGAGAAAATGAACACACAAAGTCCAACTTTCTGAGAGAGGCGTCAACCTGACTGCAACCCTGCAGCGCTGTGCGTGCTTACAGTACCTGCCGTGTAGTTAGCCAATGCCATCAGGTGTACATACACCTGAGAGGAAGCAGCGAATTGCACTAATTTCTTTCGATTTTCAAACAAAAAAAGCTTAAAATTATCAGAAAACTATAGTCTAAATTGATAAAGCAGTTATTTCTCTTTTTTATAGACGGCGTCTCTTTTATTACCACTTGCGCGTGCTGGTCTGCTACCTTCAAGGAGGAATCATGGGGCCTACAGCAGGGCTCTATACCTGAGGGCCCCAAAGCTGGCGTTTGTATCAGCTTTTGTGTTTTTTTCTGAATAATATCTTCTTATACGTGTTTTAGTATTTATCACTAGTCATCAGCATTTTTCTCCTTTGTCTCGCTCCCCCCTGACTACCGAATGGCGCGAAACTGCCTAAGGCGCCGCGCCTTCGGCGCTGTCTGTGACTTGACCGTTCAAGATGTATTTTTCCTCCTTTTCCCTTGCGCGTGGACTTTATTTGCAACCTGTTGTTTCTGCTATTATACTGTCCACCCGACGGTACACGATGAGTGCGCAACCAACACAGCCATCTGCAGCCACCCTTGCAGCACCTCGACCCCCCTTTCCCTCTTCTTCGGTTTATTCTTCTTATTTATCTCATTTAGACCTTCTTAATACAACCATTCTTTTCACAACAGCCAGCTGGGGCTCTCCAGATGATTGGGAGCCGCTGCCGGACCCGCCTTGGGGAAGCTGCATGCAAATTCCCCCTCAACTTGAATTGGAGGGAGGGCATCGTGGTGCATGCAGTGCTGCACTTCTTGCTGTTTTCTTGCTTTTGTGCGTTTAATTCAGGAGCCCCAGGACGATACCAATGTACTGGAGTCTCATATCAGCTCTGCCAGCAGCTGTTGTACGCATATGTGCCATCTCCCATCCCTCTTTGCTCTCTTTCTTCTCCTCCTTTCGACGTTTCTTTTGCTTTCTCTGCCTTCTTATTCTTCTGTGCTATCACCTCTTGTCTTCTCTGCTTTCCTCGCCTGCTCTGCTTTCTGTTGTCTCCTCTTTTATCCCTAGCCGATGGCTGTTGTTTAAGTGCTCCAAGTGAAGAAGGGCGATGGCTCGTATAGAAGCAGCGCGTGGTGCATGCGTTGATTGCTTTTATTTGGGTTTGTTTTGCTGCAGTTGCATATTTGTGCTAGTATGAGTGCGCGTGTTTGGGGTGTATGCACAGATGGCGTTTAACTACTACATATTCCAGCGGGCATCAGTTGTTCAGAACGGCCTCTCGCGGTATACAATTGGGGAGTTGTCTCAAGTAATGCGTTTGTTTGGCCTGTTGGTTATTTGCGCTTTCTTAATCCTTGCAGTCGTTAGCGGGGTACAGTTTTCTCAGGTGAGGCATTTCTAGATGTTTATATATCTATTATATATATGTGCAAACAGTAAAATCAAAAATAAGTAAATATTTAAATAAGTGTAGATGTAAATCGATCAATTAGTATATGCACTGTTCATTTTATGGCTGTATTTGCATATCTTGAACATTATTGGAGGGGGGATCCGAACGCGTGGGGTGTATGCACAGCTCAAGTTCTGCGTGTATCTGTGATGTGCTGGCTTGTGGTTATATAGGGGCTGTTGCGGCATATGTGTGTACACTGAGTGCATATATCCGTGAATGCATGCATATGCATGCAGCGCCTTCTTGCATGCATGCAGTGCCTTCGGGCTTCTAAGACAGGTTTTGCTGCCCATAGAAAGTTGTTTAATGCTGCGGTGCATACAAAGCACACATCTGTGTTTCGTATTAATTAATTTAGATGTGTCAATGACAGCTCCTTTCTGTGCACAATGGCGTTTCTTGCAAAGTATTACTTGTAGTATACATACAATATATATATGCACATATATTTGCATGTATATGCGCTATCGACACACTAAACATATGTATATTTATGCTATATATAGAATATCTATGCAACATATGTATATAATATATTATCTATATAAGCGTGTGTGTGTGTGTGTGTGTTTGTTGCAGTGTACGACATGCCAGCACGATGTATTTGGCGAGAATGCATTTTGGTGTTTGGTGACGATGCTGTGGTTGTTGGTGATGGCTTGTTTATCTCCTTCTCCTCGGCACTTAGCTAAATTAACATTTACTCAGGAAACAGCAGCAGGAATTGCAGGAGCAGCAGACGGCCGCGTCTTAGGCCGCGTAGCGATGGCTGATGATGCTACTTTCATGGCTGCAGACAGCCAGCAAACAAATGCCGAAAACTTCCTCAGAGCAGGAGTTCATCCAGACCTCGTAGCACATGGCAAAGTCGCTCCTGAAAAGACCGCCGAATAAATCAATATATTGATCAATAAAACAATTCAACTAAACAAACTATATTATATATATATATATATATATAGCTCTAAGGGGGAAGAAGAAGAGTTCGGCGTTCAATCTGAAGGCGGAGAAATAAAGTAGGAGGAGTTTATAATAATAACAAAGATGTGTAATTAAAGACAAGGAGAGAGCAGAGATTGACGCAGCGGCACTTCGCAGGATAACGAGGCAAACAACAACTGCAGCACCTCATGCATGGTCTACTGCTTGCACGTGTGTATATATTCAAATATATATCATATTTAGTATATATTTATTGAATATATTTAATATATATTATGCACGAAGAAGCTTGCAGAGGACCTTGTCTTACTTTTTATTTTAGGTGACGGATGTGCGTTTGGTTTGTTATGGCGGACGCGTCCGTTTGTTTGCGGCGTGCTTAACACCTAAATAGCTTCAGTTCAAAGCCCCAACCTGCTCTACGACATGGTTGCATGCATGCATGCATGCATGCATGCGAACAAGCATGTATGCATGCATGCATGCATGCAAACAAAACATACATGCATGCATGCAAACAAGCATGCATTGCATGCAAACAAACATGCATCCGTGCGTGCAAACATGCATGCATGCATGCATGTTTGCACGCATCCGCCTTGAATGTGTACGCATGCGCATGTGCACAGCACAAGCACGTCTCTTCTTTATTAGGGGGCAGGAAGTAACAGCCTGTGTTTTTGTGTGCTGATGACTTGGATTTTTTTAAATACTCCAGACTTTCAAACAGTCGGTTTCGGCGTTTTTTGCTGCTAGCCAGATGGCTAGCCACTGCCAGACAGTTAGCTAACCAGCTAGGTAACCACTGCTAGCTAGTTAGCCACTACTGGCTAGCTAGCCACTGCAGACTAGCGAACCGCTGCTAGCTTGCCAGCCACTTTTAGCTAGCTAGCCACTGCTGGCTAGCTAGCCAACTAGCTAGCCAACTAGCTAGCCAGCGGCTTGCAACTGTTTAGGGACGAACTGCGGTGCCGGTAGGTGGGGGAGGCAGCTGAAGTGTATGTGCAGCACTTTCTGCAGCAGATCAGCGGCTTGGGTTGCCAATTCGAGTGTCACGACAGGGCAAACTTGGCTGGCTCGAGGTCTTGCTGCTGTCATCTTAGTATTATTTAAGGAGATATTTCATTTGCCTGGGAGTGCGGGTGTAGGGGAATGCAAGACCTCACCCTGTCCATATTCCGCCGCATGCTCTTCAGCAGGACAGTAAGGTCTGATGCCATGCAAAATCACGTGTGCGTACATTCCGGAGCTGAAAATTAATTAGTAACTGCGTGCTACCTGCTGCAGTTTCGCTGGTCCAGCGACCCCGTAACAGCGCCAGGGAGTGTTCAACCTGTGAAGACAGGCGTTTCCTGTTAGTGTAAAAAAAGACGCATTTCTTGAACGTGTTTGGATATATTTGTATTTATACGGCACTGAGCGATTATGGCTACAAGAGGTAGACATTCGAGAGAACAGCACGGCAGCTGTCTAGCTGCTGCTCACTTCTCGTTCATGGAAAACATGGACTGAAATTTTTCAGTTTCAGTCAGGGGTTCGTGTTGGCAGTCGTCGTTGTTTGTCTCCTTTCTGAGGATTCCCTGGATATCTGTCACCATAGTTCGATATGTTGTCATGATAAGCGAAATACAAACAAAAAAAGTGAAATCATACAAATAAGGAATTTAATAATGGTTCACCCGAGAGATATTCCTGAGCTGCACCATACAGACCATCTTCTGTCTGACCTTCGGCATTCACGCAATCCACTTCTTTCACGTTCCCGTTCACGGCCACCGGGATGGCAAGAGGGAAACCGGACACTTCTGCAGCAATTGATGCGGAAAGCAAGAGAAAAATCAGATCATTAGGCATTGTTTGCCGTCAAGAAAACGATAGGAGTTCTGAAAACCGCTAATCTGCGATTTAATTCCCCAATTTCTGCTCATCGCTGGAGAACAAAGATGAACAAGTTTTAGGTGTGCATACACCCGGAACAGCGCCCTGCTCCCCCTAGTATAATCAGAGGAAACAGGTTGTTTTTCTTCTACTTCTAAAGGCATTCGTGCACTGTTTCATTCAATTTAACGAGTTTTTTCTGCAGATTAATTATATTCTTCCTCTGTCCAAGCGGTCTACTGTATGCCAGTCGACATCAACAACTTCAATGAGAAGACAGAAAGTAGAAGCCGAAAGCCTCACCCAGTCGTCCACTAAACGCGTAGATCCGCAGTTAGTTACAGCTTTTGCTGCCTCGTCAATAAAGCAGAGAACGCCATCTGCGTCCTAAGGCCAATATAATATAATTTGTAATAAAAAACAATATAATACAATTCAACGAGCCAGACTACGGAAAAAACTTGAATTTGCAAATGCAGGTAACACCTACAGCAACAACAACGAGAAGATGAATGCATTCATATGTAGAATGCGTCTACTGATGAATATACAGCAAACAAGGCACCCGGAGATATCGTGCCCTAGGCGGCAACCTTTCTCTGCTTTGTAGAGCTGGTGGGAGGGGGCAGTGCTGCTACCTCAGCCTCTAAGACCCAATCTTTGAGCCGTTTAGATGTTGGAAGTGGGAGCGGAGCTTCATTTCTTCTTTTATTGATGGAGTGCGCTGATTCTGTCTCTTTCTCGTTTTCAGGGTTAGGAGACTGCGGCTTCTCTCCCTCCTTCGGGGCGGCCTCAGGAGAAGTTGAAGCGCCGGAGTTGCTACCTGCTGCTGCTGCTGCTGCTTTATTTTTCTTCTTGGCCGCCTGCTTCGCCTGCTGCTGCTGCAAAGCCTTCTCTAGCAGCGCAGACGTCTCCTCTTCATCTGGAGACAGCGGAATTAAATCTTCTGATGCGTCATGCTCCTTAGAGCACATCGGACAGACAAATGAACCCCGAATCTTCGGACGCCCAGACTCTACATTGCTGCTGCTGTTGTTGTTGCTGCTGCTGCTGCTGCTGTCCTGTTTGCTGCCGTCCCCATCCTGCGCATGCACGAAACGCAAACGGATATCCTAAGCAACGGGCTCAAGCCCAAACACAAAGACCTCAACACCAAACCATAAACCCTAAACCCTAAAGCACCTTTTGTGTCATGGCTTCTATGGCTCTGTTGGATACGATGAAGCCGCAAGGCCAAATGATGCATGCGCGGACGCCGCTGCTGAGGTCTGCCTTGGTAATAGGGCAGACGGGGAACCCTGTTTCTGCGTTGATCTGAACGCAAATTAACAAATAATAAATGCAATAATAAGTAGAACAAAGGACAAGTAAAATACACAGAAATAAGCAAACCAGAGACAGAAACAGAGCGAAAAGAAGAATTCCTTGTGACACCTTGAAAGGGTTATACACGAGCAAGCATGCATAAACGCATGCATGCATCCATCCCTCACATCTACTTGCACTTCCTTCATGTCCTTGAGCGACTTCACGTGCTTCATGTGAGCGGGCAGAGCCTTCTCCAGTAGAGCCTTTATAACCGCTTCTTTGTTGTACAAACGGCCAATTCGGCAAGCCAACAATGGAGGTTGAAGTTTCTCCTGCACAAGCAAACAAAACGAACGGCAACATATGCTTAAAAGCATACAAATGCAGGTTGAAACAGAAGTATAGACGGATGTGCAAGTAGAGGAATACATAAGCAAAACGGGAGCACAAGCAATGCACACAAGGACAAAGCTGATCACATACATCGGTTTGCTTTCACATGTAAAAACGGAAGAGCCGTTTGAGTTTGAGTTTCCTTTTTTCGGGTGCATGTACACCCCAGGCCAACGCGGCTCCCTCGCCCGTCGTCCAGTTCATTCAAAACGGAAAGCAGCCGCTTAAATACAAACAATACCTCACAATATATAGGTCTTTTTAGAAATTTTAGTTGTTATTCGGGCTGGAAGGCGTTAATACCTGCGAGAAGGCGCATGCAGAGGTCCGCAGATCGCGGCTTTCGTTCTTGCCGAATCGTTCATCACCTGCTCGTATTTGAGTATTTGGTGTATATCCCATTCCTCCTAAATTGCGGAGAAACTTAAATCCTTTTGTGCGCACCATTTCGGTGCGGTGAGAGAAGGAGCCGCCATCGCCCCCCATACTGACTCAGTTGAGGTAAGTAGAAGAAGAAACAGCTGCTGAAACACCTTCCGGAGCGGCTTAGTACGGCGACCAGTTTGTTGATGGGGAAATATGCAGCAAACAAAAATACAAAAAGGAACGAAAAGAAAAACAAAGAAAGCCGCCTAAGGATGTGCAAGGGAAGCCCCGTGGTTGACCTGCGACTGCCGAGCGCAGCGTATGGTGTCTGAGAGAGAAAGCAAACAACACCTACATCTTCTTTCATAAACTCAACTTTTATTATTCCTTCTCAATTCAGCGTGTGGAAGCCGCACCACCAACTCCTCTGGCCTCCACCCGCTGTCACAGCGAGCCAACAAGCAGCGGCAGCAGCAGCAGCAACAGCCACAGCAACAGAAGCAACGGTCATCATCACGAATTCGAAAAATAGCCTTCTGGCATCTCTCACCGTTATGATCATTTCGTAGCCCTTTCTTATTATCGCCTGGTTCTTCCCCTTTTCCCTTATCTTCTTTAAACCCTTCGACTGTTGCGGCTGCTTCTCCTGTTGCTGCAATTGCAACTGGAACAGCGACTGACACATCACCATGCGACAGCTCCTGGTGGCCTCCCTGCGTTCGCGGGGGCCTTGTGGTGTCTCCAGTGGGGGGGCCCAAAGGAGGGCTGCTGCTTCTTTTGTTTCAGGCGTTCGTCGCTTCAGCAGCAGCCAGGCAGGGGCCCCCTTTAGCAGTGTTTTAAAGGCGCTTGAGGGCACCCAGAAGGCATACTATGACCTCCCAGGTTGGATTCCAGTCTTTGTTTTATTCTTCTTTGCTGCTTTGCATGCATCTCAGCCAGCCCTCGACAGCCGCTTGCCTTGCTGCAACAGGGCGACAGGAGACACAGCAGCACTCCCATACCTAGAGGGGCCCCTCACTGTGTTTAGGGGGACGCCTTCTGCGAATCCGTGTGTTACTGCATGCATACGCATCCCTGAATGCATGCATGCATGCATGCATAGTGCATATATGTATATGCGTGTGTATGCATATATATATGTTTGTGTCGTCTATTCTTTTTTAATTGTGTTTATTGAATTGTGCAATGCTTATTTGCGTGGGTTTTATTCTTTTCAAAATGCTTTTGTTTATTTTTCTATTGTCTTTTCTTCTGCTGCAGCGTTGGGCGGCGAGCGCTACGAGGCGCTGCCATTTTCAGTGCGCATTTTGTTGGAGTCCGCTGTACGCAACTGCGACGGCTTTCGGTGGGTCTTAGCTGTTTAAGTGTATGGAGAGCTTTGATATTTGTTGTCTGTAACGCGTATTGTCCTATGTTGATCTAGTTGTGCTGGTTCCATTGCAATTCTAGTGTATAGACAAGTGTAGGGACTTGTTTCTTTTAAAGCGTATTGTCTTAGTTAGACAGTTTAGGCGCTCGTTTCCTAAGAAACGTATTTTTTTGTGTTGATCTAATTGTGCGCGTGTCCTTGCTGTCCTATATATATATATATATATATATATATGCTTAGGTTTTGCGTTTTTGTTTGGAGCGTAGATACAGTTTTATCCATGCATTAGTTTGTATACTTATGTACACAGCCTCGTAAGCATTTATATTCCTCAGGTGTATAGTTGTGTATATTTATTTGCATGTACATTATTTGCGTATACCTATATATATATATATATTATGTATATGTATATATATCATTCACAACGGGCGTCTTGCCTCATTATTTCGCTTGCATGCATCATAAGATTTGCCCAATGTTTCAGAACGTTTGTGAACAGACGTGCATGCATGCATGCACGCATGCATGCACGCTTGCGTGTGTGGACGGATATGCATACATACATGCATACATACAAAGATTTGCATGTATGCATGTATGCATGCATGCATGCGTGCGTGCATGGACTGCGTTTGGGGCCTCTGCAGGGTGACGGAGGAGGATGTGGAGCGAATATTGGATTGGCCGAAGACGAGCAAAGAACAGAAAGAAATTCCTTTTCTACCGGCTCGAGTACTTCTTCAGGATTTCACGTGGGGCATCCGTTGACACATCAGAGGGCAGGCGTATTGATTGTTTAGTTGCGGTGCTGTTTCATTTGTTTGTTTGTTTGCCTTTTTTTGCTTGTTTGCTTGTTTGCCTGCTTGTTTTTTCTGCTTGCCTCGTTTGTTTTGTTTGCTTGTTCGTTCGGTCGGTTGGCCGCTTGATTCTTCGTTTGTTCGTTTGTTTGCTTATTTTTTTTGTCTCGTTTGTTTATTTTCTTCGTCTTGTTGATTTGATTGTCTTTGTAACTGGGTACACATTTGTGTTTGTTGATGTGTTTGTTTGTTTGCTTGCCTGTTTGTTTGTTTGTTGACGGGTTAGGGAATGAGTTGGCTGTTTTGTCTGTCGTTTCTTGCATGATTTTTTTAATCTTTCTTCGTTTGTATCTTTCTCCATTTCCTTCTTTTCCTTCTTCAGTCCTGTCTTTGGTTGCTTCTTTCTTTTTTTTCGTTTGGTTCTTTGTTTGTTCACTCATTTCTTCTTTGATTCTTCATTTATGTTTTTCGTTGCTCCTTTCGTTTTTGTTTCTTAGGGGAGTGCCAGCTGTGGTGGACTTAGCGGCGATGCGGGATGCAATGCAGCGCCTGGGCGGCGACCCACGGCGTATAAATCCTTTGGTGTCTGTTGATTTGGTGGTCGATCATTCAGTTCAAGTGGATTACAGCCGTTCGGCTGCTGCTTTCCAGCGAAATTTAGAGAAAGAAATGCAACGAAATAAAGAACGCTTCGCCTTTCTCAAGTGGGGAAGCAAGGCGTTCAATAATATGCGTATCGTTCCCCCAGGATCCGGCATCGTGCACCAGGTGAATCTCGAGTTCTTAGCCTCCGTCGTGATGAACAGCAGCAGCAACAACAGCAGCAGCAGCAACATCAGCGGTAGCGGGATGAAGATATTGTATCCTGACTCAGTGGTGGGTACAGATTCCCACACGACGATGGTGAACGGGCTGGGGGTGTTGGGTTGGGGTGTTGGGGGGATTGAGGCGGAGGCGGTGATGCTAGGGCAGCATATATCGATGGTGTTGCCTGAAGTTATTGGAGTACACCTCACTGGCCAGCTGGGGCCCCTCGTCACGGCGACAGATCTGGTGTTAACTCTCACAGAGATGTTGCGGCGTAAAGGAGTTGTAGGCAAATTCGTGGAGTTCTTTGGCCCAGGACTTGAGCGGCTTTCTCTCGCCGATCGGGCGACGGTTTCAAACATGGCGCCGGAATACGGGTGCGGAAAGCAACATGAATGCGTCTTCAAATTCAAGATATAAATTTTAAAGAGAAGGAGCATCTAGTGATTTAAATTGTCATCAATGATATTGCTTGATTCGTGCAACTTCCATTTATATCGAGATTCATTCGCTGGCAGGCGTTCTTTGATTGAGTCTTGTGCCCAAAGCAACTTGAGTACAAGGTATTTTGCAGAGAAGGCGTAGTGCGTGTTGTGTGTTGTGGCTTCTCCCCAATACAATTCGAAAGGAAAGAAACGAAAGACAAGAATGCAGCCATAACGGAACATTTGCCGTCGAAAGGCGCATGCGTCCGGCCTGCTGTTGTTGCTGCAGTATTGGGGATGGGCTGCTGCTGCTGCTGAGATGTTGCGTTTGGCTGCTGCTGTTTCTTCCATCGGCTCAGGATAAAGCCGAGTGCTCTGGTTTGGTGGTTGCGTTGAGGTTTGAGTGGAGAGAAACCCCCGGCATTCGCAGGGCACTGCAACTGCTGCGCTGTTTGTTTCATGCATCATGATAGTTTAATTTACATTCTGCAGCAACGCGCCTGTATGTACACTGCGCCTATTAGCGGGTTGTCTGTATATCCCAAATGCCGGTTCAAACAAACTGCCTACCCTAGAAACCCTAGACCGGAATCCCAGCAGCAAAGTAGCGCTACCCTGTCTTTGCTGTGTACTAACATCACTGGGAGATGAAAGGGGCTTATGGTGTATGGCCGATGGTTCTATGCTCCAGAGTGCCGCATATTCCCGCATTGCTGAGGGACACACCTCCGGTTTTGTGGCTTAGGGTGTATGACTCGCCTTTAGAGTTAAGCGTTTAGGGTGTATTTGCTTTAGGGGGTTGGAGGGTCCATTGCCTTTTAGGGGTTTTAGGGGTTTAGGGTTTGTGGTTTGTGTGCGTGCAGGGCGACCTGCGGTTTTTTCCCTGTAGATGAGCAGTCTCTGTTGTATTTGCGAATGACGGGTCGTCCTTCATCGCAAATCGACTTGGTGGAGCGTTACACCAAGACGAACAAAATGTTTGTAGCTGCAGGCGCAGCTGAGACATCAGCAGCAGGAGCTTCTTCACGCGTTGCATATTCAGACGTGGTGGAGTTGGACTTGTCTTCTGTTCAGCCTTGTGTGGCGGGGCCGAAGCGCCCGCAAGATCGCGTGAGTGTAGGGGAGGTGAAGAAGGATTTCCGTTTATGTTTGCAGAAGCCGGTAGGCTTTAAGGGTTTTGGTCTTTCAGATGAGCAACAGCGGCGCGTTGTTCGTTTCAACTTCCAGGGAAAGGAATATGAACTGAAGCATGGATCTGTCTGCATAGCAGCCATAACCTCGTGCACGAACACCAGCAACCCCGGCGTAATCTTTGCTGCAGCATTGCTAGCAAAGAACGCAGTGGCTCGCGGTTTGCGTGTTGCTCCTTATATCGTCACTTCTCTGTCTCCTGGTTCAAGAGCTGTTTCGCAGTACTTAATGGAGTCCGGGCTGCAAGAGGCGCTGCAGTCTTTGGGCTTTTACCTCGCTGGCTATGGCTGCATGACTTGTATAGGAAATACCGGGGAGTTTGATCCTGAGGTGACTCAAGCTATTGCCGAAGGCGACCTCGTAGTAGCTTCGGTCCTCTCAGGGAACCGCAACTTCGAGGGGAGAATACACCCGCTGACGAGAGCTGCTTATCTCGCTTCTCCTCCTCTCGTTGTAGCCTACGCCCTCGCCGGCCGCATTGATATCGACTTTGAAAAGGAGGAAATCGGAACGGACTCAAACGGGAACAAAGTCTTCCTTAAGGATATATGGCCCACTAGAGAGTAACGCACACCCGTACACACAAACATACGCATGTACATTCATGCATGCATGCACACAGTGGCACTCTGTCAATGCAGCAAATGCAGGTCGGCAAAGCAAGACTTTGCTGCTGTTGCTGCGGAAGCTGCTGCTGCTGTTGCTGCTAGATTGAAAACTAAATGCCTACTCCTGCTACTGCTGCGTAACCGCTGCATTGCTGTATTGCTGTCCTACTGATGCCGCTGCCCAGTGCTCCTCTTCAATTCTTCATGTTGCTACTTTAGATCCTGCTGTTGCTGCTGCGCTTCAGTGAGATTCAACCAGTGATTGAGCAGTACTTGGGCCCCGAGATGTTCAAGCGAGTGTACAGCACCATCACTGAAGGGACACCCGAGTGGAAGGCGCTGGAGACTTCCGATTCTTCTGTGTTGTATGACTGGCGAGAGGATTCGACTTACATTCATAACCCCCCCTTCTTCAAGGTATGTTGCTGTTTGTTTGTTTCTTCGTCTGTTCGTTTGTCTGTTCGCTCGTTTGTTTGTTTGTTTGCTCGTTCGTTTGCTTGTCTGTTTGCTTACTTATCTGTCTGTTTATTTGGCGCATTATAGGGATATTGCGGATGCTTTATTATTGCGTGGGAAGCCGAGATGTTATTTATGCATATAATACCGGCTTATTATTCATAATATCTAAGTCCGTATTATGTGCACAATGTACCACTTCATTGTTATTGAACATAATGCCATTTCATTGTCAACCTGCAGGCATAGATGGGGCTGCATGCAGGCGTTGTGCACAGTTTGTTGCTTTTGACTTTTTGGGTCCTCTAGGCAGCCACCTTCAAGTTCCCAATCGAACGTTGTTTTGTTTTGTTTCCTCCCGGCTTTTTGAGCGTTTTTCGGATTGCAATGCATCATCTGCTCAATGCATATATATATGTATATATATATAATATGTACAAGTATTTAAAACCGTATTTTATACTTAATTACTTGCAAATGGGTGTGTGCAGACGATGGAGCGTTCTCTGCCGGTGATAGAAGACATTCGTTCTGCCTATTGTTTGCTGAGTGTTGGCGACTCCATCACAACTGATCATATATCCCCTGCAGGGAATATTGCAAAAGACTCTCCTGCTGCGAAGTACCTTCAAAGTCGCGGTGTAGAACGCAAAGACTTCAATACGTACGGATCTCGCAGGGGCAACGATGAGGTGAGTAGAGGAAAGTCGAAGTGAAAGGTCCTTTTTTGTTTCGCTCCGCCTAAACAGATACCGAATTCATCTGGTGTGTCTTTTCTTCATAGTATATTATATGTTTGTTCGTTTCATCATAAGCGCATATGCGTGGGCATATTGCATCTTGCACTTGTGCATATCAAATTTGCTTTGTTTGCTGCATGCTTGTTCACCTACCGCACCATTTGTTTTTCGTATTGTATCTTTTTTTGTGGCACATTCTAAGTGTGTGTACCGCATCGTTTATCTGTGTATTATCTCCTTTATGCATGCTTTCTTCTTTCGGTTGGGATTTCAACTTGTCATGTTTTCATCTTTTATTTATGCATTTTCTCTTATTTATCCAAGCATTCTACCAGTTATTTACTTCTTCTTGTATTTATGCATTTCATGTTTTATTTATTTGTTTCACGTTTTATATATGCATTGAGTGGTTGTGTATTGCGTTCCTTCTTTGCGTACTGAGTTGTTTATGTGAGTACTGCGTTGCATTTTGGTGTGCTCTTGGTTAAGTGAGGAGAAATCTGGGAAATCTGTCGGTGGGAGAAGAGTATATTTGAATAAAAAAGAGGAGGGTAGAGTGCATTGCGTTGTATTGCATTTCAAGTGTGCGTGCATGCGTTTTCATCTGAATTTGAGGTGTAGAGTATGATTGCATTTTGCATGTTTCCTGTTTTTTCTTCTGCAGGTGATGGTCCGGGGGACGTTTGCAAATATTCGTTTAGTGAATAAGATGTGCCCAGGCGCGGGACCTAAGACGATTCATTTGCCTTCAAACGAAGTTCTGCCTGTCTCCGACGCTGCTGAGAGATACCGAGCAGAAGGGCATCAAATGATCGTCCTTGCAGGCAAAGAGTACGGAAGCGGGAGCTCCAGAGACTGGGCGGCCAAGTGAGACAATTGCAGATATGCAAAAGGAGGAACCCACAATAAATTCAAAAACAATAAAACCACTTCATGCCTGTAAGCAGCTTTAAACAGAAACAGCAAATCCACTCCCTGAAGTGCGCGAGGAGGTGCATATATCCGCCCATATTTAGCCACGTAACCCTAAGCCTTAAATCCTAAAGCACTACACCCTAAACTGTGTTGGCTGTAAGAATCGCTATTAGCGCCTCTCCCTCTTGGAGAGGAGATGCGTATGCTGGCTTTGTTGTTGTACACGTCTAAGTCCGTATAAACACATCTATATGTACTGAATATACTTGTTGTTTGTATTACATTTATATTTTATGATTTATTTTCATATGTGTATATTTTAGGGGGCCTTATTTGCAAGGCGTGAAGGCTGTGATCGCAGAGTCCTTCGAGCGCATCCACCGCAGCAACCTCGTGGGTATGGGCATTCTGCCTCTGCAGTTTTTGGATGGTCAGTCTGCAGAGAGTTTAAAGCTGACAGGTATGCCCTTTTCTCCTTCTGCGGTGTATGTGCGTACGTACACCAGAGTTCAGAACTCTCCTCTAGGCTCCCCCTTCTGTGCTCGGCCGAACACTCATCTCAGCTTCGAGCGTCTTCCGCTGCTGCTGCTGCCGCAGCTTCTCGTCTTGTTGTTGATGTCGCTGCTCTTTCCGTTTGCTGATGCCTCCCGCTGCCGCTGCTGCTGATGTACAGGGCGAGAGCGGTTTAATATAGCTCTGAATGGAGGACGTCTTGTTCCTGGGTCTTTAATTCGGGTGTCTACGGACTGCGGGAAGTCCTTCGAGACGAAATGCCGCATCGACACGGATGTTGAAGTCGAGTATTTCAGAAATGGAGGCACTCTACACTACGTGCTTCGCAACATATTAAACAAAAAGTAAATCCAGGTGTACAGATACTTCGAGGTGGACGTACAGTTGGAGGTGGATGTACAGGTGGAGGCAACAATTGTTCTTTTTTGGGTTTGCTCAGTTGCCTCCGCTACTACGCAGCTTAATGTCGCTGTGTGTAAATAATAAAGCCTTCATGATGCGCTTGAGCTTTGGGGCAAGGTCTGCATGTGCTACTGCAGCAGCAGCGGCAGCAGCTGCTGCTGCTGCTGCTAGCGAAGCTGCTGCTTCCTTCATCCTCCCTCACATCCGAGTAATTGCCACAGGATTTATATAGTTGTTGCATGCAGCCCTATTAACCTGATACATGCGTGCATCTCTGTGGTCCTTCATTCCAGAAGGGGACTTTGGGGGGCGATGGCTGTGCGCGTGCTTTGCGGCAGCTTAATTAATTGAGTATTTTTCTGATAAATACAATATTTTTATTAGGCTTAGGCCTTTAAAGAACAGTCTCCCTAAGGGCTAATAACACCCGAAACGGTGCAGTAAGAAGAGACGGAGCTTCTCAAGTTCTCAAGTATATAATGTAAGGAGAGACGGAAAATGAACAATTTGTTCCCTGTCCCGTTGGAAGGCCGACAGCCGCCCTTGAGGAGACGGAGCCGCTTCCCTGCTGCTTCGGCAGCTAGCCGCTGCATCTAGGTGCTGCAGCAAGCTGCTGCTGATGCAGCTAGTTGCTGCAGCAGTTAGATTGGGTGACCCGATGAAGCGCTGCTTCCACGAGCGGAGCGTCAGTGGGAGGGGGGAGGCCATGAGGGCCAAATAAATGAAGAGGAAACAGTGATAATGCCTAGAAGATTTCAGCAAACAAATTTTCAATCAAATCCGAAGATAAATAGTCAGAAAACATCTGCAAAACGTCGGTGGGACGAATCAAGAGGCGTGCATCTCCGGTGAGAACTGCTGTCCCTCATACTTCAAAAGTAGCTAGCTGGTCGCTAGCTGGCTGCCTAGCTAGCTAGCTAGCTACGAGCTAGCAAACTATTTATTTTTTACCTTTGCCCGTGCTACTAGACTGACGCTCTGTATACATGGAGCCTAGAGGGAAGCATCTTTTCTATTCTCTTAAGCGAGCGCCTCTTCCCTGGTCTGTTTCATGCTGCACTGTAGATAGCCATGAGTGTTAAGACAGCGTCCTCCGCGCTGCTTCATTGCAGTGTATGTACACCATCAGTCACGTCAGTCACTTCAAAGGAAATGATAAGAGGGCTAAACAGACGAAAGGCCAATGCGGCTGTGTAAAATGCCATAAGTAGAACCGCAGTAGCTGTGGAGCACAGCCTCTCGCTCGTTGTTATTTGGACACTCGGGCCCATTACAATAGAGTTAATAAATGAAAGAAATCTGGAGTGTCTAGACAGCTTGCTTTACGCTGTTCATGATTTAGTTTGCATGGACTGCATGGCGTCGTGCTGTGCAGTTGTGCAATCGAGGGCGTTCATAGTGAAGCGCTGCGAGGAAGATGTTCTCGAGTAACTCGAAAGTTGTCATTTCTTCTTGAAAGAAAAGGAAACCAATTTAATTACTTGTAAAAGGCTTGTAAAATGAATACCAACAGCCCCATCAGTGTCGGGATGTGCCGGTACAGCAGACGGCGTGTGGAAGCTGCTGTTGTGTGTTATGCCGCTCTGGTAACTTAGCAAAACCAGCAACCCAGATACATGAATTTAAGACATATAATACCTTAAAAACAAAATAAATGAGCTGAAATGGTTTAAATTTATCAATGGAGTGACATCAGTATCCACATACACCGTGGCTCGCTGCAGTCAGACTCGAGAGGGAAGCTGCTGCTGAGGTATGTGGACCCCGCCTGTTGTGTAGACACCTCAGCGTTTTTTGTTCATAATTATGAAATTTATAAAAGATTTCTTCATTTATTTCACAAGTATTGTGCGTTCTTCACCCCGGATAGACCCTTTCTTCTTCCTCCTGGGGGTCCTCCTCGTTTGAGTGCTTTCTGCGTTTGCCTTCGCTGTAGGTATATTACATATATCATATCCTCCCTCTCTTCCTCTTCCTTTTTCGCAGTTTGACTACTAAAATACTTTAGGCACCCTGTAGCAATGGGTTAAAAAGGACCCCTTTTTTTGATTTGCTGCTGCTTTCCTTTGGCGGCTGCTGGGATTCTCCCGATTGACTCTATTTCATTGGTGTTTAGAACATTCGCATCCTCCTATTGCGTTTATATTCATCTCTCGCATCTAGCAACTGAAATTCTATGATAATCTACTAGAACTCCTCTTCAGCTGAAAGGCGAGGCCCCGTCGCCTTGCTTTTCTTTCCCTTCTTCCTCTCATCTACCCGCGGCTGTTCTCCCCAGTGCAGTTGCTGAGGTGTACGTACAGCTGAGGTGTACGTACAGCTGGGTTTTAACACTCACGAAGGTTTTATTGGAGGCGAAGCGGACGAATAAACAGAAACAAGCAACCAACCCTGAACTCACGCATCACAGACGAGCAGCTTTGCTTGGCTAAGGGCCATGTCTGCTCCTCTTTTAGAAAGAGCAAACTGCCCAACCTCTTATACACCTCCCTGTATACGTGACTATACAGCTGCCTGTACACTTGAGTGTACACCTGCTTATACACCTCCGTGCAGCCCTCTAGTTCTTAACCCCCTTTCTTTCGTGGTTCGCGGCGAGTAGGGAACCTCCCTCGGGAAACAAAGTAGAACGAACGAAAGGCGACAAAGGGAAGAAAATAAGTAGGGGATCAGTGTGGTTTAGAAAGATAACTGCACTTAGTTTGAGCCTTTCAGCAGTTGCGTCGGCATTGAGGTGTGGGCTGGCTCGTCTTCTTCTTTCTCCACCGCCTTTCAGGAGGTTAACGAAAGAAGAAAATGGTGGTGTCGGGGTTTACCCTGTGAGTCCACATTGGGGGTTGTTGGTGTGCTGGAGTGTACGTACAGCTGAGCTGTGCATTCAGTGGTGTAGGAGTTTTTCGTGTGTGCGTAGACATCTGCTTGATGTGCGTTGTGTCTCTTCTTTAGGAACGACGCGATATTATTGTTTGCATTTCTCTATTCTTCTTCTGATGTCTTCGTTGAATGGGATGCCTTTGCTGCATGCGCTCAGCCGGTGCATTACTGGTTGTTGGGGTCATACGGGGCCCTCATCGCCTTCCGACTTTCTCACTACTTAGGACAGTACTTATCTGAGGTGCGTTCTGTTTGCTGCGGTGCCTGTCAAACCGAGAAGGAAGAATTGAGGAATGGAAGGGGGAAAATAATGACGGGGAGGCTGGTCGAGGGTACTTGGCGGAAGTTGTGGTGTATGTACATCGAAATAGCAAAGGAAAGCGAGCGACGGGGCAGGGGGGATTTATGGAGGTCTCTTTCTTGAGTATGGTGTATGTTTCTGCGTGCAGGATGGAGAGGACTTTATGCTGTATAGACAGCGGGGGCCTCCCTTCTGGGTGAATGTTCTCATTCTCGGCATTTTATTTCCTTGCTTCTTCGGATGGACTGTCGTGGGTACCTTTTGGTTCCTGGAAGTGCAGGAGGAGACGCCTTTCTGTGTAAGAAAAAAGCAATAAGTGCACTGGCGAGAGATTATTCACACCGCGGGCGTTAGGGTTTTGTGCTCTTTTGGTATAACGCTAAGGTTGTAAATATATATATATATATATATATATATATATATAATTGGACATGCATATGTATAGATACATGCGTGTGAAATACAGGCATGCATACCTATATATATATATATATA